TGAGGCACACCACTAAAAATCTCAAGCCATGGAGACACGTCCACACCCATCACAACTCTTTGCCTTCTTTCTTTTAAAAAAGACGATATCCAGTCATTTATTACACCCTTGATACCATATGCTTCACACTTTTTCAACAGTCTTTTATGTGGAACCTTATCAAAGGCTTTGGCAAAATCCATATAAATCATATCTACCGCTAAACTGTCACTCATGCTTGCTGTTAAAATGTCTAATGTTTCTAGCAAATTTGTTACACAGGCTTTATTTTTTACGAAGCCATGTTGATTTTTTGATAGCAATTTATTTTCCATCAGATGAGTCATTATTGCTTCTTTTACGAATGCTTCCATAACTTTGCCTGGTACAGATGTTAATGATACGGGTCTGTAGTTAAGCGGGTCTGTTGTATTTCCATTCTTGAATATTGGAGTAATATTTGCTTCTTTCCATTTGCTAGGAATTTTTCCTGTTTCAATTGATTTTCGGTAAATTAAAGCTAATGGAGTTGCTGCACTACTTGAACAATTTTTAAGTACGTAAGGACTAATACCATCACTACCACATGCTTTGTTGACGTCCAAAGAATACAGTTTTTGCTGAACTGCCTCATTTGTAACAACATTTTTCCAATCCCATTCAAAAGGTTTTGTAATACGTGGTACAAACTCCGGAATTTCACCATGCTCTTTAACAAAAACCGATTGAAAACTTTTGTTCAATATATTAACAATCTCATGCCTGTCAGATGTGAGTACATTTTCATAGTTTTTCATTGATTGTATTTTACCGATGTTTTTTTGGTTCTTTTTCGCGTATTTGTAAAACAGTCTCGGATTTTTTTTGCATTATTTATAAGATTTTTCTCATAATCAATAGTGGATTCTTTTAATTTGCTTTTGACTAATTTTTTTACTGCTTTGTACTCATTTAATTTATTAAAATATTTAAATTTACCAGCTCTTAATTGGTTCCATAAATTTTTCTTTTTACGTATTAAAGCTTTAACTTCAATTGTTATGCATGGGTCTTTTTTAACTTTTTGATCAAACCTGGCTCTTTTCTTTGGAATATTCAATTCAATCAACTCATTATATTTTTGTACGAAAGCACTGTAGCAATGGTCCACGTTTAAATCCTTGAATAATTCATACCAATTTATTAAATTAAAACCAAGATTTATTTTTTCATAGTCTCCTTTTTGGTAATTTATATATTTACTATTGAATTGTATAGGGATTGTGTCAGCACCTTGCATGTCATATTTGAATTGAATTACATAATGTGCTTTTTCAATTGGTCCAAGTGGTGCGCCTATTTCTACGTCTCTAATCCTTTTGCAGTTATCTGTCATTAGTAAATCAAGTGTGTTTGTAGGTTCATCGTCGGATATTTGAAATGTTGGTCCAAAAATACATTGTTCAATAAAATTTTCATTTAAATTATCAATAAATTTTATACTAATATCACAGTTTTGTTTCAGTTTTGTTCCACCATCTTTGTACCATTTTATGTGTGGATAATTAAAATCACCAGTTATAATTAATCCGGTATATTTTTTTTGGTCTACTAGACTTTTGGCTATTCCAAGCACTGAATTGATTTTAGTGTTTACGCTTTCTGGACTACTTGGCGGTCTGTAAATACATCCAATTAATAAATGGTCTGGTCCGTTGGTCAAACTACACCATATCTGCTCTATTCCATTGTCACATAATGCTAAATGACTTACACTTGTTGTAATAAATGTTGATTTTGCATTAATTACTACTCCCCCACCATTTTCACCAAGCGGTCTGTTTTTGTTGTAGCAGTTGTACCCATCAATATTGATAACTGATTTATCATTGAACCATGTTTCACTTACTAATATAATATCTGGTTTATCACAGGACAAGTACGCTTTAAGTTGTTGCATTTTATTATTAAGTGAAGTTGCATTGGTGTACCAAAGTTTGATGTGATTTTTGTGTGGGTTGTTGTTTCTTGATTTTTCGAGGCTAGGTATTGATGTTGGTCCACCCTTAAATTTAAACACAGCATTTCCTAATACATTTACATGTGAATATGAAAAATGATTTGAGTTTTTGTCCTTTAGATCATATAGCTATTTTTTGATTTTTGTTACTTTTTCATTTCGAATTCCATAGTAGAACTCGTTTTCAATGTTCTCTTTGTTTTTTTTTTCTGCATTCTTCTCTTAAAAACTTTGATTTAAACCTTTCACTTTCCGTTAAATCGGGATTTATATAGACATTCTCATATTCTTTCGAATCTCGTAATTCTTTGGCTTTTTTTAAGATAGAATTCCTTTCTCTTTTATCTTTCAGTATGACAACAAATGGGGCTTGATTATTGGTGTTTCTTGGTTTTAGTTTCATAAAATTTTGAACATTAACGGTTACTTGCAATTTTTTAAAAACATTAATTATAGCTCGTCTATTTTCTTCTTTCTCTTTACTCTTTTCTTCGTTTTCCGATGGTTTAATTCCGAAAATAACTACATTGTTTTCTCTTCTTTCTCGTTCTTTTGTCTCACTAGTAACGGAATTTATCATAAGCATTTGTTCTGGTGACTTTTTTACCATGTTTGCCCACGTTACATTGTTATTTATATGACTGGTACTTGATTTATTAATTTCTAAATCATCTACTCTTTTTGTTAAATTCATATTATCAGTTATTAATTTTTCAATTTGTAGTTTCAGATCTCCAATAATTTGTTCCTGTTGAGCCTTGTAGGCTTTAAACTCTTGAGCATTTACCATTTTCTTGAAAAATTTAAAATTATAACTAGTTCTTCAAACTCTATTGTTTTTTCGTTAATAACAAGACGTATATATAATATTTCATTAATATAGTGGTTGTTATTGTTTTTTATTTCAAAAGCATGTCCGCCATCTTTAATTCCGCCAAAAAAAAAAAAAAAAAAAAAAAAAAAAAAAAAAAAAAAAAATTATTTATTATAAAATTAATTATTGTTTTTTTTTAAGATTGAGATAACTACTTTTTTTTTTTTTTTTTTTTTTTTTTTTAATTATTCACCTCCCCAAGGCTCGAGGGGGCCACTACAGTCGAGGAGGCTAATCATTTTTTTTTTTTTTTTTCTACACTTTTTTTTTTTTTTTTTTTTTTAACTATAGTTCTTGAAGATAAAGTTTTATTTAATTTTTTTTTTTTAATTTTTTTTTTTGTTATTTTAAATTTTTTTAAGTTCCATTAAAAAAAGCTCATCTTAGGATACTGGTTTCCTAAGATGAAATGATTGGGTGTGTTGAAAAAAACGCAATTTTTGGTACAAAGATTTTTTTAAATGAATTATTTATTTATATTCTTTGAGAGGAAGGATGAAATTATCATTATTCTAAAAAATATTGATATCTTTTTGTAATCTTTTGGAGCAAAATACATTACACTGAAAACATGCTCAACTTACGCAACCTTCCCCTATACGCAATGTAAAGTAAGTAAATTTAATATTTATTGTTAATTTTTGTTTTTTGTTTTGTTTTTTTATATTTTTTATCCTTTTTATAACTTGATCAGTTAAAATGCACCAGAACAAAGTTATTAGAAACTAAAGTGGGCAATAAATTGTCTACCTTGAACTGTTACAGGTCGGCATTAGACTACAATTGGCAAACATAAAACCATTATCACAAAGGTTTCACCATAAAAAATAAAAACGAGGTCAACAAAAAATTGTTTTTTGCTTTGTTCGGGTTAATAAAGAATATGTTTTTAGATACTAAAGTTAAGCACTATATATATATATATATATATATATATATATATATATATATATATATATATATATATATATATATATATATATATATATATATATATATATATATATATATATATATATATATATATATATATATATATATATATATTATATATATATATATATATATATATATATATAAAATATATATATATATATAAATATATATATATATATATATATATATATATATATATATATATATATATATATATATATATATATATATATATATATATATATATATATATATATATATATATAGACCCTAATATAAACATGCCCTTATATTAGGGTCGATATATATATATATATCGACCCTAATATAAATATGCCCTCGGCATATATATATTAGGGTCGGCATTCGGAAATGTCGACCTAATTGCCAACCTAAAAGTGTTTAAGGTCGATAAAAAATTGTTAACCTCGTTTCTATGTTTTATGGTAGGATCTTTGTATTAAATTTTTGTTGGCGATTTATACATACATATATATATATATATATATATATATATATATATATATATATATATATATATATATATATATATATATATATATATATATATATATATATATATATATATATATATGTGTGTATATATATATATATGTGTGTATATATATATATATATATATATATATATATATATATATATATATATATATATATATATATATATATATATATATATATATATATATATATATATATATATATGTATATATATACAACATTTACTAAAGCGTATTTTTATAAGCATTTGCTCACTTTTTTTGCTTACCTTAACCCATACGGCTTTTTTAGAAAAAGAAGAAAAAAAACGAAGAATGATGAATGAAACGGTTGCTGCCCCATCCCAAACTTTCAGTCGATGTAGCAGCACTCCACTGCAAATCAAGCTATTTTTCAGTTAATGTATGTACTGAAGCCCCCAGCATCAGGCTATTTCAGTATGGCGTCAGATTGCTTACCTTAGTACGCAATACTATTTATATGTATTATATATATATATATATATATATATATATATATATATATATATATATATATATATATATATATATATATATATATATATATATATATATATATATATATATATATATATTTAAGATATGAAAAAATGTAATGTTAAATTTTAGGAAACTATATATTGAACATAGATTTGAGTTTGTTAGATTTATTTTCAGATAAAAAAATCCTTACCTTAACAGACGATGAAGACAAGGCAATCGTTATGCGTGGAAAAAAAGATTATTTTACGAAGTTTTTCATTTTCAGATGCCGTGATTGAACTTATTGGAATACACTGTGTACTGGACATGGATTTAGACGCCCATATCATGACGGCATATACAATTTACATTATATTTTACACTTACATTATATTTTTATCTAAAAACCTCAACAGAAACTTGTTTGAGTCAGATGAGTAGCCTATGGGAGGAGTATTGCCGCTACAAGCATTACCAATAACTGGAGATTCTAAAGAACAAGTTTTCAACAATGAGAGTTGTTTAAATGTATAAATACTTTTTAAATATTCTTATTTTATATCATCCTAATTTTGAAATGTTTCATTTTTTCCATTAAAAAAAATACTATTGTAATATTATTTTACAGTTCAAGGAAAATATTATTGAAACAAGAAAATAGAACATTAGGCAAAAATATCCTTGAAATAAAATTAAAAAAATTCCTATTAATAAAAAAAAAATCTTAAAACAAGAAAAAAAATCTTTATTTGAACAAAAATATTCTTGAAATAAGGAAAAAAAGTTCTTATTTTAAGAATAAAAATACTTATAACAAAAAAAAATACTTATAACAAAAAAAAATACTTATAACAAGAAAAATTTCTTATTCTGAGCAAAAATATTCTTGAAACAAGAAAAAAAAATTTTGTTTTAAAAATAAAAATTCTTAAAACAAGAAAAAAAAAATATTTAAGAAAAAAATTCTTAAAATAAAAAAAAGAAATCTTATTTTAAGAATAAAAATTCTTGAAACAAGAAAAAATATTCTTACGTGGCGGACAAGTCTTTTTTTTTTCTTGCTTGAAGATTTTTTTTTGCTTAAAACAAGAATCGTGGATTTTGCTATGATGAATTAGAGAAAAAAGTTCTTTGCATTTGTTAAGTTTATAATATAAACAATTAGTTTCGGTTAAATAAACCTATTTATTCTTTGAATTTCAGTAAAAGACAGAAAAAAAATTATTTGTTTTTTTTTTAATTTCTTTTACATTAAAATGTCACAGTACAATTATAGATTGCCATACATACGGTGTTACAATTTAAAAAAATACAAAATCAGCATAGTTAAAATAAGAAAAACACTCGCATATATAAATGTAAGCATACATACACTGACAAATCTATAGATGCGCACATACATAAACTGCTAACAATTAAGAATAAGCTAGGATCTGAAAGAAGATCACAAGATCTTGTCTTCAGAACCTTATATAATACAAGCAAGCAAAATAAAGACAAGTTTAACATACTAAAAAATAAAGTAAAAATTAAAATAAAAAAGTAATAGAATCCAATTCAAATAACAAGTTTCAAAATATTAGAAGTATCTGAGTATACTCTCAAGTGAAAAAATACATTTTTTTTATTGAGCTTGAAAAGATAAAAGGATGTTGGTAGATTGAAATTCCGCAGAACAATATTATTCCATTGCTGGGGACTACGGTAAGCGATGCAAAATTGATTAAATTTTGTGTGACAAAACGGCTTATTTAAAAAAATTATATTTCTCATATCGTATTTGTTGTTAGGTTTGAGTTTGCGGTAGGGGATAATTTATTTCTCCATAAATATATGCAACATAAAACTTTAAATACATTGACTTCAAATAAATTTAATAATCTCATTTCAGTAAAAATAGGTTTTGTATAGGTAAAACGATCAGCATAGTTAATTATGCGAGTCGCATGTTTTTTACAACGATAAAGAAGTTTTAACTTTATAGAGTACTTCTCCAAGCAGTGTTAGCATAACTTTTGTAACTGTGGATAAAAGAGTAATAGAGTTGGCTTCAGCAATTTTTATTAAGGTAGTTACAAGCTTCATAAAGAATGGAATAGAGTTCATTTAGTTTTATTAATATTTAAAGTTAGCTTATTACATTTAAAGCAGTTTGATATATGTTTTAATTCTTAATTCATAGTAGTAAAGAGTTCATATATATTACTGCTTGAGAGGAATATATTGGTATCACCTGCGTACTTGATACCTATAAGGTTAAAAGCTTTATTCAAATCATTTATATATATCAAGAAAAGTAGGGGTCCGAGGATTGAATCTTGAGGAATACTATATACGATATCAAGATAATTATTTTGATAACCGTAGTAACTAATTGTTATAAATTGTTTTCTTTTTTGTTAAGCAGCTTCTAAACAATTTTAAAGTAGTACCTTTTATTCCATAACATTTAAGTTTTTGTAGTAAAATATAATGATCACCTGTGTCGAAAGCTTTTGATAGGTCAATGAAGATACCTAACAAGTACTGTGATTTTTCAAAAGATTTCGAGATTTCAAGCACAAACTGGGTTACTGCATGCTCTGTTGAGTTACCTTTTTTAAAGCCGAATTGTTTGTTATATAGTAAGTTATTTTTGTTTAGATGTTTGTATATTCTAGTAGACATTATTCTTTTTAAAATTTTTGAAAATACTTAAAGAACAGAGATGGAACAATTGTTTCTAATATTTGATCTGCCACCATCTTTAAAGATACGAGTAACTTTAGCAACTTTTAATTGTTCTGGAAATCATTCCTTGACTGAACTTTAAAAACTTTTAAAAGAACATGATTTAATATATCGAGACTATAATTACATTTCCATTAATTTCATCTGCTCTTGTTGCTTTGTTTCTTTTCAAAGAATTCATAGCTACTTCAAATTCCTCGAAAGATTATTCTGAGGTTAACTTATCAGAGCAAATGCAGTTATCCATAGGTACGAGGAAACCATTAAAGGAAGCCGTCGTATCTGGAATCTTATTTGATAGGAAATGACCTATACCAATAAAAAAATTATTAAATTCGACTCTTGGCTCATATAAACTTATGTTATCAACTTTAATCATCTGCGACAGAAAACCTAAGCATGATTTTTATTTTCTAATAATTTCTTTCATAGTTTACCATGTTTCAATTCGTTTTTAGATTTATTAATTAGTTCTGAGTAGTAATTTCTTTTTAGGTTTTTACTTAATTTTTCAAAGAGATATTTGTAGTTTTTGTATATTTTTTTGCTAACAGGTGTTTTTGTTTTTAGATATTTAATATATAACTTCTGTTTAACTTTTGACGATTTTTTTAATCCCTTCGTAATTCATAATACTTTAGAGTTTTTGTTTGTTTTTATTATTTTTTAAATAATTTGAAAATTAGCGTCGTAAACAGAAAACAGTGTTTTATAAAGTGTTTCGTAGAATTTATTTGCATTGCCATTAAAATCAATATGGTTCCAATTGAGAAAAGATAGCTGATCTTTAAATAGTTCAAGATTTTTTTTTTGAAAATACGTTTATTTACAACTATTGGGCTGTTAATATTTTTTTCTAAATTTGAGTTTAAAATCAGGAATATAGGAAAATAATCGGGTGTTTCAGTTTTTATGATACATCCGATCAATTTCCTTTTTAAATATCTTTATTAAAAAAGTCTATTGTAATGATATTATCTATTAGGGTTGCCGAGTTTATTGTTACCCTAGTGGGGCACTTAATTAAGGGTATAAATCCTGTTTCAAAAATTGCGTCATAAAAGTTTTTAACTTTATGTTCATCGTTATAAAGAAAACAATTCATATGAGAGTCCCCAATTACAAAACATTTTTTTTTTCTGCGTCACTTGTTTTTACGCTGTTATAAAAACGTTCATACGTTTTTGCCCGCGCCGTCAGGTGGTCGATAACAACAGCTTAGAATAATGTTTTTTGCTTTTTAAACTAAAAGTTTAATTGTTAAAACTTCTTTATCGCCATCGGAGAAGCTTAAATTATTTCTCATATTTTTAAAAAGATTTTCATGAACATAAGTTCATGAAAAACGAAGTCCTCTTGCCCGTTTATTTGTTTTTCTTTCTTGTGAGATAATTTTAAAATGAGGAATATTAAGATTATTGTCAAAACCGTTTAATGTAACACATGCCTCAGTTAAACAAATGATATTAAAAAGATTTTTTGTTTCTTTTTAAAAATTTAAAAGTTTTTCAAAATTCCGATTTAAACTTCTTATAATGTGGTGGAGAATTCTAATTCGATTTGAACTTTTTTTAATGGCATTCTGAAAAAGAAAACATTCTAATTCTTTAGGATAAAAATAAGTACCGTCAGTAAATGTATCGCAAAAAAATTATTATATGGATCTTTGTTTTCATCATAGAAAAAGCAATTTCCTTCGAAAAAAATTAAAAGTAATGGATTCAAAGTCATTCAATATAGTCCTGGTTATTAAAATTAGGTTAAATAAGGTTTCTTTTTAAGAATGCGTAATTTGTTTTGAGCCTTTTTTAAAATATTACTTTTAAAAGAGATAATTTTATCGTCACGAACCGTAACATTGTCACCATTTAAACGTCGTTCTTTCACTTTTTAAAATTTTTTTTTCTGATTGCAACCGTTTTGCGAGAAAAATCTTCATTTACATAAATGTTTGTTCTTCTGAGACGAGTTGATTCTTTTAAAATTTTAGCTTTGTCTTTGTATTGTTGAAGTTTTAAAACTATTACCCCTGGACGTCCAACTTTTTTTGGCTCAGTACGATGTGCACGTTCAATTTCTAATTTTTTTTTAAAACTAAGTTGAGGCTAATACGGTAATCGGTAAACATATTTGGATAAATGCAGTTACTTCGGCGATGGCGGATGCTTTTTCGTAACGGAAATTTTGTAACGGAGTTTATTTGATCAACTAGCAGTCAAGTTTTTCATTGATTTAGATTAAAATGAATACTATGAAGACTACTGTATTCTGTGTAATGTCCATACAGCGTTGACAGAGACCAACACGAATGTGGTGGATCGATGAAGTAGTTTTTTTACAAAACTCGCTGAAAAAAAGAGTGATGAGGGTGGCGAACTTTTCAAAGTAGTATCCTTCGTATTCCCCATACCTGTTTTAATTTCTTCATGTAAACAAACTTTCAGTGTGATGAATTTTTTGAGGTTTAAAGAACAAAATTGTCTTGGACTTTATGTCTAGCGAGCTAAGCTGCAGGTGTGTGAAAACATGAAAAGCAAATGTTAATGTAGAAATCCAAATTGTTGGCTGCTGCATGATCTGATTAGATATATACTTTTAAATGCAAGTAGTTTTCATGTTTTCATGACAGCACTGAAACCCTATTGTAATCGTTGTAATAACTTTATTCAATCAAGTACACAGCATTGCATATAATGTAAATAAAATATAATAGCCAGCCCCCAAAACCACCAGCAGAGCCTTGCTCACCGTTCGCCATGCCCCGTTCTAAGGTTGCCATCTCTAGCTAGATTTAATCTAGCTAGAGATGGCAACCTTAGTTCGCACTAACATTAACAATTGCTGTTTTTTCTTGGTTTTTAAATATAACTCTAGTTTCCTTCTTAAAATCATCCAGCATTTTTCCATCATTTTTTTTTTTAATTTCTTAGAGTGTCACCGCCATACTTAATATTGATAGGATTTGTAGATTTTTTAAATGTTTCTATATCATTTTTGAATTTTTTTTTTTTTTTAATTTATTCATTTGTTTACTTTTTTCTATTCAAAAAATTTTATTTAATTCTAAGAGTTCTTTAATTGATTTTTAATTGATTTTGATTGAATCTTTATTTGATTAGGCCAGTTGAAACTGGCCTAATTATATTTTAATATTCTAACAAGACTCTTGTTACAAGAGATAACATTTTAAAAATATTGACACAAAATCATGTAATTCTATTTTAAAATTTCAGGAGGAAAATGCAATTTTAGAAGTTAAACTATTAAAGTTTTAAAAACTTAAAGGTGTACTCTTATAAGTTCATTTTTAGGATACAACTATTGATACAAAACAAACTTTCTTTCTTGCTTTATACATATAGCATTTTACAATATCAGTATTTTATATACAAAATGACCAAATGAGCCACTGAAGTTCATATTTGAAGTAAGGTCTTCTGATAATATCAGAAAACTTGAAGTACCAGAAAAGCTAAAAAAATAAAAATATTATAGCCAAAAAAATAAAAATATTTTAAAATAAAAATTTTCAAAAAATATTGACAATGATACATATCAATGTACAAATTAATACACCAATTTTAATAAACACAGATTTAAGATTATTTAACTGGAGCATTTCTATGTTTTTTGAATGTTATTTTTACTTTACAAGATAATACTTTTTTTTTCAGATTGAGTTCATTTATTTTGTTAATAAAAAAGATTTTCTTTGTTGATACCTTTTGATTATTCATGTTTTTATGCTTTGATAAGTAATTTATTTATAAAATGAATTCAGTCACTATTTTCTTTTACAAAATCTCTCGTAGATGCCTTGAAACCATTTTACTCATTATAATTTTATTTTATAAACTTCACTTTTACTCATTTAAATTTTAAACAAAAAATATATCAGATGTGGACGGCCGATTTAATCTGACTCAAAAATATGGAAAGGTTCAATAGAGTAAATAAAATGCTTCAAGTAGTTGAATTTTATTTGACAGTGGAATGAGCTGAATCCTCTCTGTCTATTTTTGTTCAAGTGGTTTAATCAGGTTTAGTCAAATTTGAAAAGAGCTTATGTTATTGGTGGGCACCAACAAATACCCTGCTGCTGTGACAAATCCAAGACTATTTATTCATCCAAATTCATTCAGCTGGATCCGTCACTGCATTGTTGAGCTTGCAAATGTCAATATGAATTGATGTCTATTGAGGTGTCAGACTTCACTGTGGGAGAAAAAACAATTGTTGAAGTTAATCTTATCACCAATTGACTTTTACTTGAGCTTGAAGACAAGTTTATGCTTTACTTCTCTCTAGTTTTGGATTCTTTATTCATTTTCTAGATAAGGATTTTATCGCACTCGCATGGATTTACTTTTGGTTATTTCAACAAAAAAAATTTCAATCAAATCCATAATGTCAATGTTGTTCTAAGGATGTTTTTCTCCGCTGTTGTAACAAATTGTAATGGAAAAAATTCCTTTTCAAACTTCAAAAAGAGCAAAGAATTGTTTCAAGTCTAATAGCGGACAAAAATGCTTATTGGCTCTATTAAGTATGCCATTAACAAAAAAATAGTGGAAAAAAAACAGATTTTTTTGGTAGTGGGTGGGAAAGAGGAGAGATTTTTTGTAGAGGCCATATCTGTTATTTTGCTGTGGGGCCAGGATGATCTAAAGACGGGCCTGATGGCGATTGGTTTTTTTATTTCAAATTTGCTTTCAAGGCTGGTTTTACCGAACGTCAAAAAACAACCTAAAACCTGATTTTTCAAGAACGAACTCCTTTCGAGTTTGTTCCATTTCGAGTTTCTTCCATTTCGAGTTTCTTCCATTTCGAGTTTCTTCCATTTCGAGTTTCTTCCATTTCGAGTTTCTTCCATTTCGAGTTTCTTCCATTTCGAGTTTCTTCCATTTCGAGTTTCTTCCATTACACAAGTATTATTAGTCAGATTTAAAGTATAAAATGATTTTTTTTTTTTTGAAATTTGACTTTGCATTTGCTTAAGTCAAATTTCAGGCTTGATGTAAGACTTTAAATTTCAAGTTCGCTGAAGTTTTAGTTTGTGGCTCTGTGAGCCTTGCCTCAAAAATATCTATAAAAGGCAAATAATTCTTTTGCACCAAAAGTTGCATACCCTAGTTTATAAGTTTTTATTTATTTTAAGCTCAACCTTGTTCAAATTTTTTTTTTCTCTAGTTTTTTTCTGTTTGCATTGGTATTATGCATATATTACAACATTGTAAAGTGTTGAAATATATGCATAAAAAAATTAACTATATGCATAAAAATAACCACTAAAAGCTGTCCGCTTTTAGTGGTTAATTTTTCTAAAAATGTGAACACGTTTTAAGAACAAAATCTTATTTTCAATTGAAACATTAAACTTTTTTAAAAGTATTTTTCACACTGCAGAAGTGTTCTTATCAACAATTATATTCCAGAAAAAAAATTACAAACTCTAATTTTAGAAAAGGTTATTCAGTTTTTTGGGAAGAGTGTCCGGTAGGTCTGATTTGTGGTAGTTTAATTCTAACGAGCATAAAACTAAACATTTATTTCATTTACAAAAGTCTTAATTTTTTCTTGGAATATGAAAATTCTTCTTTTCAATTTTATTATCTAATAGTTTGTCAGTTCGGTTCCAGAATGGTATGCCACAACTTTGGGACATTTTTTTGTTTCGGACTTTCTTCATTTAGGGTGTGATAATTTTAAAGTTTAAAGAAACGAACTTTAGTTAATTAAGAATAAAAAGTGAATTTTGTGTTAAAAAATCTATATACAATAACATTCTTTGCTGCTTAAAATAAACACTATGGTTGACATAATACCGACGTTACGACAACTATAGTTTATATATTTAATCAAAAAGAATGGTTGTCATAATGCTATTAATGAAACAAAAAGGTATCAAAACTTTCTCCAATATATATATGGTAGAAAGCTTTGATATTTTCATATTTAAAATTAATTAATGTTTATTTATTGTTGTTAAAAAAATAAAAATAAAATAGTTGAGGAGTTAAATAGCGCTTATTTAAATTTTTTTATATAATAAATAATCAATAGCTTCTTCGCTTTGATTTATTTATCTATAAGGATCCAAATCATCTGAACCTCAGTCCTAAATCAAAGCAATTTCCATATGGGACCTTGTGGTATTATTTGGGTCATAGTAACTTTTAGTTCACGTTAGATGCCATGTTTGACTAGGCATTGATTAAGAGATCGTGAGGACACACCGTGTCCTCACGATCGTATTCATCACAGCGTATTAAAAAATTACTCCGGAAATTTTTTTTTTGAAAAATTGTTCAGAACAACAAAACATTTTGCAGAACAACAAAATGTTTTTACTTCTATTACATATTACTACTACTCTTTATTTTTTTTTTGATATTTTAAAGAAAAAAAAGTTTTAAAAAACAATATTTACAAAACTAAAAATAGATTTAACGTAAAATATTTTAAATTTATTCATGAAATTTTACACTTAAAACAAATTTATTATTTAAAAATATTCAAAAATAAAATAACTTTAAATTTCAAATTATTTTTGACTCGTTTTTGGGCACAAATACAATGTTTAACGTATGTTGATGTTACTTGTTTTTAAATTTTATAGGTTTTTAACTCAACTGTTGAATTTGTGAAAACAAATTCTGTAATTTTTGCTCTGAAAAGAGCTGCTGTATTTTCTTCTGGTCGAAATAGAATAATGTACAATTTTGGTACATACATAACAAAAAAAAAACATATTGTAGATGTATTAGACATAAAACACCAAACTACTAGTTTTTGTTGTTGATCACTTGTACTAAAATAGGTAGGAACAAATATCAACCATGATAGAAAATATAGAAACATTGCTAAACATGTTAACTGCGATTCGTTGTGCGTTTCTGGCAAATTTCGTGCTTTAAATGCATACACTCCACAGATAAATGCTATAAGTGAAACATAGGCTATTGTTGAAAATAAAATAAAATTATAGTAACCGTGACAGTAATAGGCTATCTCTATAGTAGCATCTTTTTGCATAGTAATATAGCTGCTAACTTCAATTGGAAATGAAAAAAGAAAAACAAAACACAGTACTATAATAGACAAACTTAAAACTGCAACTGGTGTAAATTCCTTTATGATAAAACAACAATGCGAATATTCTATTGGCGTTGGTTGGCCTGTTAAATGACCCGCTGAACGGCCCTTTTTACTATTTTTAAATATTTTCAATAGACAGTCAGCCTTAACAAAAGTGACTGAGACTGCCATTGAATTAAAACACGCAAAATATATCAATTGACCACCACATATGTAAATAGTAGTATCTCTATGAATACAAAAAGATGGCAGCATAAGTATAAAAAGAACACTTATAAGTTGCATCAAAGATAAATTTATGTTTGAAGCTTTTACAATTGGAGTTTCTTTATATTTGTAAAAAGTACCAATTATAAAAATAACTAAAAGCAATCCGACGGAAGAAAATAAAATTAATAAAATACCGTGTTTGCTATTTGCCATAATGTAAACTTTCTTAGGCATAATACACTTTATATTGCCTTTATTCGGCATTTCGTTACCGCCACACCTAATACAATAGTCTTGACCGTAATTTGGCTGTACACTGTCATTTGGACATCGTACACATTCCCAACAACATAAACTTTCAAACTTGAGGGCATAATACCCTGGTTTACAATTTTCTTTGCACGATGAGCGAGGAGAATTTGCTGAAAACCTTGAATATATTATTTTCTTATCAGAGATTAATTTTATTTCTCTTGATGAATAATTCCAAGCGGCAATAACATCCCAGAATAGATTTTTGTTTTCATTTTGTTTTAAATTAGTGATAGAATAACCGGCATTCTTTGGATTTCCTTGTTCATCATAAGATATTAAAATATTGTTGATACCCATAAAACTTACATTTTTTACATATGATAAAAGTCTTTGAGGCTTAAAAGCTGATGGATTTTCAGACTCTATATAAAAATATAATCCTCTAGCAATAGACTGAACAGCATTAATGACTTCAAAGTATTTACTTTTTGGTAATTCGTTTAGACTGCGGTTAAGGCAGTTGATCGTGCTACTGTTGTCACAGTTTATTTCCTTCCAGTATTCTTGAATCCATGGATTTTTGTATACTATACTAGGATTCATAGATTTTAGTCTAGATTCAAATAACTCGTATTTAAATTGAAACGGGATTATTCCAAGCATTCCTCTGACAACATTTGGGTTAATAGAAAACAACTCGTTACTAAAGCCATAGGATTCTGTTGCAATCCATGTTTTATTGTACAAATAAAGCTTTTCGGCAGTTTTTAAGAAGCGAATAGCTTCAGGTCTCTGACACCAAAGAACAATGACATTCGATTTTTTTTCCAAAAGTAATTTTTTTATAACGGCTTCCATTTCACTTGCGTCATTTCCACCTTTTATATCCAAAACTTTTATAACGGCAGTACAAACTCCTCTTTTTTGTAATTTTTGTAATGACTCGCTAAATCCAACTCGTCCGTAGTCGTCATCACAAGCTATAACACTGACGTATGTCCAGTTATTGTAGACAATTAAATCGGCAATCGCTTCGGCCTGAAAATTATCAGGTAGGATAGTTCGTAAAAATGAAGGATACATCTCTGTGTTAAAATTAGTTGATGTTGCTGAATAGCTTATTTGAGTAATTTTTGAAGATGATAAAATAGCGGCGACATAAGCTGAAGTTTCAGATGCTGCATCACCTACTAAAGCTATAGCTCCTTTCATAAATGATTCGCATAAACATTTACCATTCTTATTTACTGTATCATTATGTACATAACCTTGAGTAATTTCTAGTGTAGACCTCATTGCGATTTCGATGTTATTACAGCTATCTTGAATACGATAACCAATTTTTTTATGTAATAAGCTACTTTTGTTGATTTCTTCAATTGCAAATAACATCGCCTCGACCCATAAAAGTCCTGGTTTATTTAATACGTATGTTTTGTACTTTTGATCAAAAACGTGAACTGGAAACAAGCCACCTATTACAACAGACGCATTTTCTACGTCACTTAATTCTATACGTTGTTTAGTGCATGCCTCATACTCCAATGATGATGCAATAAATAATAACAGTTTTAAATGAAAAATCTTTTTAAAGTTTGATAACATTTGAAAACTTTCTGTTTGATTAATTAGCTACAGTTAAAAAGCTAGAGAACTAAATATAATATTTGAGAAATAAAAACTTACTATCATCATAACGAAAAGCACAGCTTTTGTTTGCAAACTTAAAAGCGGAAATTGCTCAGAAGTTTTTTATATATAATTACCTAGCAAAGTATTTAGTGGTTTTTTTATTATTTTTTATTAAACTATTAATTTCTAAATTAATTTAAAAGTGATAGTTTAATGACATTATGCAAAAATATTTTAAATATGAATATTTAGTCAATCTTGAAATTTTTGCAAATGCTTAAAAAAAAAAATGAGAGTACGATAAATTTTTCTTCAACTGTAATCATAACCAGCAGAGTTGATGCCTCGCGGCGGTAAAGTAACACTCTGGCAAAAGGTCGACTTTTTAAGGAGATGGAAGCTGTTGACGGAGGCTTTTCAAAACATTTTCAAAAACATAACGTTCTCCACCTCTCAACTAGCGTCCGTAGCCAAAAAGCAAAACGTTTTGAAGAGCGGAAGCCGTTGGCAGTCTCCTCCAGAGGAGACTTTGGGGCTAAATTAATTTGGAGGCAGCCTCCAGGGGTCTGTCTTCCAGCTGGCTGCGGCTGCCAAATTAGAGGTTTAGCAGCCGCATATAAAAAATATTTTCTAAAACTATTGACTATTATAAGCAGTTTAATATTCAAAACAAAAGTTAAAAATTGGAAATTTTACTTCCATGCTATAGGCAAACAAATTATTTTGGCAAAAAAAAATCTAAAATTAAATTGTCAGATTTTGATCAAATTTTTTTGTACAAAACCTATTTTTCGACATCCTAAATGTTTTATTTATTTTGTTATTTACCATAACGTTTTACTCTTATTTTTGATAATGTTTATTTAAAAAAAAAAAAAATTTAATTATTTAAAAAATATCATTTAACATGCTTTAAAATTTTGCAACCACGTTGTATTTTGCTGATAGTTTTGATAAATTTCATCAACAATAATAGTTCACAATCTTTAAAACATTTAAAAGTATTGACTTTTAAACTAATGCTCTTCTGACTTTTAAATAATTCGACTGTCGACTAAATCAACTAATGTATCTTCAAAATCGACTAAAAGTCGATTTTGAAATATATAGTCGAAATAGATAGTCGAAATATGGGAATAATTTTTTTTTTAAATAAATTGTAATAAAAATATTAATTTAAAAATGAATAGAAAATAATAAAAATAGTAAATTATATTCGCTTTCCATTTTTTAAAACCATATCATTTAAATAATAATGGAGCTAAATAATTTCCAGACTCCAAATATTTAGAGACCATCTTAAATACATGCTAAATAATAAAAAGCCAATACAATCATACTTGTAATGTGGTGTATAGATGATATTCAGATTTTTGAACTTTACAACTTAAACTTGTACCAGATCCCCGAGCCAGCTTGGAACGGCCCTGTATAAAAGTATTTATCAAAATATCAAGCATCGCGTTAATAAAGGAGGAAAAAAAGTAAAAAAATACATAACCGAAAGTTTAATTAGCTATGAATAATGCTAGTTAATATAATGGTTTGAATTATATATTACGTTAAGAGAGTAAACAAAAAACTGGGAAATAGTACATGCTATTGTTATTAAATGAGCAAACAAAAGTTAAAGATTGAAAAGTTAAATTTAGTGAAAATATAAAAGGGTTTTAAGATTTTTACTAGACTAAATCGACTTTTAGTCGAATTTGTCAAAGTTTATTATAGAATTCTAAGGCAAAGTAGATTTTATTAAATAAAAATATCATTCTTATTACTTGTTGTGAATGACGTCTTCGATAATTGATAAAGGTTGTATAATAGTTTACATCGCATAAAATCACAATAAAAATATCGTCATCATAGTATTAATTATCAATAAAGATTAGTTTAAAATCTTACGCACTTATAATTGTATTTTTTTTTTTTTTTTTTCATTTCAGATTTATTAAACACCCACTATACAAGTAAGGTAAATTAAGAGTTTCATACAAGATAAATATAAAAAATCTTGGAAATTTTTTTTATTTTTTTTTTATTTTTTTTCAACGTGATCATCTTGGAATATGTTTTTCAAGAATGTCCTAGAAGATAGTTCTCTGCTCTTTTAAGTTCCAGTACTCAACTGCACATTTTAGAGATTGAAGATCCGTTTCAGGAATTAAATTTTTGAGGCCGACAATTTTTATTTTTTTTTTACTTTCCATTATTGTCTCCAGATTTAGTTCATGATTATTGCACAACCCTTTGATACAATCTAAAAAATGTTGTGGGGCTGTTTTGTTTTTCAGCTGCGACCTAATAATATCATATGTCATTTTATTGTTCATCAAACAGATAAATAAGTTTAGCTTGTTTTGTTGTATAATTTGTTGTATAAATTGTTGTATAATTTGTGGTATAAATTGTTTTGTTGTATAATATAGTTGTGCACTATAATTATATAGTTGTGAAAATTTATAATTATATAGTTGTGAAAATTTATTTCATTTATTTCGCACTTATAATTATATAGTTGTGAAAATTTATTTCATTTGCAAATAAAAATAAATTATTGAGTCAACAATATCAATATTAAGTCAATTATTGAGTCAACTTTTAAACATTTTAAAGAATGTGGTTTGTTTCAAGATAATTACGAAAATCTTTTTTGTCGTCATGTTGTATTTTGTCATTAAATCAATAATATAAGAGACAAAATGCAATGGCGACGCTTTTTACTGGGAATTTAAAATTTGTTAAAAAGACTCAGTAGTAAAAATCTCATACAACAGCAGAATTTAAATAAGTAAAAAAACTCCATAGTATATTATTTGACTAGACTAATGCGCGTTCTTCAACAATATATCAAACTTTCATCAAAAACTGACAATTTCAAATGATTTTTTATTTGAGCCTTAGACAAAAAAAATCAAACTTTTATCATTCATTTCTATTATGAAACTTTTTTTCTTAATTTTTTTTTTGGCTTTATTTGATTTAATTCAAATTTCTCACAAAGTTATGAATTTATTTAAATAGTTTAATATACTCAAAAGTTTTGCCGTTAATCATATAAAACGTAACTTTGATGTTCAATTTTCAATATTTCCACTTAATATTTAAGTTAATATTTAAGTTGCTCGTTAGTTTAAAAACAAACTTTAAAATGTTTTTTGTTATTTCCGCCGGCGAGAGGCAAATATTTTGCCTCCAATTTCGCGGCCGCAGGGCCTCTGGAGGCCGCCTTCTTTATTAGCGTCGGTCTCAAAAATATTTAGTATCCAAATAAAATCTCTGGTTTCGGCAACCAATAGGAAGGCGAAAGTCACTGGAGGTGGAAGCCCCAACATTTTAAATTTATTGAGAGGCAACCGCCGATAACTGCGGAAGATAAGTCAGACGAGAAGATAAGGCGATAAGATTTACGCCGTACATCAACGCTAATAGCCAAGGTAGTTTTAAATTAATACTAGTTTTAGTTTTCTAGTGGACATGCGTTGTCCAGGGGACGTCCAAGCGTCCGACGGACGACGCATGTCCAATGGGTTTAATCAAGGGGTAAACTAATTATTTTATATTATTTCATTAAAAACATTTTTTTTCTTATTTCTTACTAAAAAGAAAAAAGAAAAAAAGTTTTCTCAACTAAACAAAACATTTGAATAATTTTTCAGAAATTAGAATATTCTAATTATTAAATTAATACTAAAACTCATTACTTGTAAATTACAATCAAAGCATTTAAAAATTTTTTTTAAATAAATTATTATTAAATTATTTAAATGCACAGGTAATGGGTATTTAAACAAATTCAAGGTAAAAAAATAAAAATAAAAATGAAGAAGTTGGTTAATTCAGAATTTCAAGCTGTTAAAGTCAGAAATATGAAGTTACAAGAATAAGGATTTTTTACTAAGAGATGATTACATTAAATGCACAGAACTTATATTAATTTTACTTGGGGAAATTCCAGGTAGAAGTGTACATTGGCGCAAGTCTGTATCCTTTTATCATGCAAGATGGATGTCATCTATGATATATGCTGCAAAAATGTACCTCTTTAGAGATCCACGGGTATAATAAGAAAACTACTGTGAAGATGAGAGATATATGACTTTTTAATGGTCTTGTGTATGTCAAGCACTAGTTAGCATGCCTCGTTGGTGCTCATTTCATTGACTTGAAACAAGCACGAGTCGCAAGCTTTGAAAGTCGTCAACAAGATGAAATATCAGAAAGGACCTCAAGAATATTTAAAAATGATTTTTGGCATTTAAGAAGATTGCAGTTTTTTTATTGTTTTCAAAAAAATTTTCTGACAATTGAAATTGTGCCTCACAAAAGATAAAAAAAGCAAGCAAAATGTGTTGTAAGTAATCGAAATTGTTTTACCAATTTCAGAAATGCAACTTTGGTTAACCTTAAAAAAAAATTTACTTATATATTTACTATAGTTACTATTTTCCAATTAAATCAATTTGTAATAGCTTTGTGTATCCCTTTATATTCAAATGTATAATAAGTTAGAAAAACATATTTTTTTTTTTTTTCACTTGAATAATTTTAATAAAATAACAATAAATCCTCATAACTTTAAGGGCTGTCCATTACCAGAAAACAGCGGGGAAGATTGATATTTTTAAACTTTGGTTTTTTCAGAACACTCTAATGTTTTTTCTTTGTTTTTTCTGGTTAAACTATAATAAGTTTCTCCATAAAAAGATGCTTCACTACTTCCTTCTCAAGTCAAAACAGATTTTGTTTTCTAGTTCTAATTTTTTTTTCTGCTTACAATAGCATAACCAGGTTGTATGTTGAACTGAAAATCTTTTTAATGCTGCTAAATACCCCATAACTTTATTGATCACGGCATTTACTGCTTGCTATCTATTTTCCTGGTTCAGCCAATGATTTTTGATATTTTAAAAATTAGTGTGCCCTACTAATTTTTTTTTGAATAGATTTTTTTTTTTTTATTCATGATTGTGTCCGTGTTGTGTCACACACTTTGAAACCCGTGTCGTCGGCCCTGTGAAGAATAATAATGATCATAGTTCGTGAATCTGGAATATACCTCATTAGCTTTCTTTCTAGCATTCCACATTAGGGTACTGCCTAATTATAACTTACTTGCCGTTAAATTAACAAAACACAATTTTTAAAAGATAAACTAAGTATACAACATAATAAGGTAAAATTTCTGCTTATCAACTTTAAATAATAAAATTCACAATTGCATTACAAAAAATCACTGTAAAATTTGTTTGCATAGATGTAAAAAAATACCAAATAGTACGTTATGCAATATTTTAAGGTTATGTTTTTGCATGCCAGGTTAGAGTCACGTGACCGAATAACTTAAAACGCCACCACGCATGATTATAGTAACTAGAGCTATTAGAATGTAGATGATTAGAGCTATTAGAATGTAGATGATTAGAGCTATTAGAATGTAGATGATTAGAGCTATTAGAATGTAGATGATTAGAGCTATTAGAATGTAGATGATTAGAGCTATTAGAATGTAGATGATTAGAGCTATTAGAATGTAGATGATTAGAGCTATTAGAATGTAGATGATTAGAGCTATTAGAATGTAGATGATTAGAGCTATTAGAATGTAGATGATTAGAGCTATTAGAATGTAGATGATTAGAGCTATTAGAATGTAGATGATTAGAGCTATTATAATGTAGATGATTAGAGCTATTAGAATGTAGATGATTAGAGCTATTAGAATGTAGATGATTAGAGTTATTAGAGTGTAGATGATTAAAGCTATTAGAATGTAGATGATTAGAGCTATTAGAATGTAGATGATTAGAGTTATTAGAGTGTAGATGATTAGAGCTATTAGAATGTAGCTACAGTTTTTAGAATTTAAATGTCTCTAACAATTTCTAATAAAAAAAATAGTTCTCCACATTACGTTACTATTCTACATTTGACACCTTTACTCTATATATTTGACAAAATAACTAACGATCTGGCATAATCCTAGGCTCCAATTATTGCAGTCTTTTGCAAAGCATTTTTATTTGACATAATTTTATACATTTAGAGTTTGCTTCATGTCCGAAATTTATCTCAAACATCAAAAAAGTTGCTTCCACCATTGATATTTTAAATTATTATTGATTAGTATGTAATACAACATTATATTGCATATAATATAGTAAATCTGTTCAACTAAAATACCGCACACTTATGGTGTAATACCAATAAATAAATTATTGAAAAATATAGATAATTCTGTATATAAAAATGACTTTTTTATTCACCATTTTAATAAAAATTTAGAAAAGTTTTTAACAAAATTTTACCAAAATATTAATAATACATTTAAAAGCAAAAATTTTTAAAAACAATTTAACAAAAATTTAGAACTACAAACTTACAGTAAAACTTGTGTTCAAAATAAATTTAAACTAACAATTATAAACATAATAGCTGTAAATCCCGAGAACAAAAAGAAAATGATAAACGCGTCAAGAAACCATAGACGCAATCCACACTCTTAGACGCAATTCACACTCTTAGGCGCAATCCACACTCTTAGGCTATAAAAAAAACTTTAGAAAAAGAAAAAAGATTTAAATCTGAACGGTATATATCAGCTGATAGTATTTATACTTCTTAAATATATATTTTGCATTATGGAATACATCAATAAGCTCAAATGCTTCCAACTTTTTTAAATGTAGGGCAGGCAAAATCACACAAATTTAAAAAAATAGTAATAACTACTAAATTCTAATGTTTATTTTT